TGGGTCTGGCGGTGGTGGTGGAAGGGGGGGTGATCGGCATGGAAGCCACCGTCCTGCGGCGCTTCATGGAGGACGAGGAGGAGGAGGAGGACGCGTTTGGTGACATAGATATCGACGTGCCTGGGGACGGCCCTCTGCTACCTACGGGTGAGGGCGGCCCCGTGAATTCCTTGCCGGTGTTGTATGTAGTAGTGGTCCATGTCTGCCCCGCGGTGTCACTTCGCTGTGGGTAGCATATGTATTAGGCTCAAAAATATTTAGAAGGTCCGGTCGCGCTCCGATTTGTGTCCTTCGACTGCTCGTCAAAGGCAATCACTCCGTCGACTGATGCATGTTCTCTTCACCGCCTGCTCGCGGCAACGCCACCGCTTTGTGTGGTCTCGGCTCGCTTTGTCTGCGAACGACCTTGTCGGTCGGCGGCCTGACCGCGTCTTGCCCCCTGGACTGGACGCGGCTTTTCTCTCTTGGGGTCCTTATCTGTCTTGTCTGCCTGTCTGTCTGTCTGTCTGTCTGTCCGTGCGAAAGCGATGGGTGAGGGCGAGCGTTCGAGACCCGCTTCGTTTGCAGACAACCTCAAGGCCAAGATGCTGAGTCACCAGGTATGGTATGGTATGACGCCCCATATTGTTGTTGTTGTCTTTACATTAATAACCGTCCCGGTCTCCGCTCAGTACCTTCTAATGTCCGTACTGGTCCAACTGACGCGAACGCCTTCCGTATGCGTTGCTCTTTTCCGCATCGTACCCGTAAGGGAGAGAGACAGAGAGAGGGAGAGAGAGAGAGAGAGAGAGAGAGAGAGAGAGAGAGAGAGAGAGAGAGAGAGAGAGAGAGAGAGAGAGAGAGAGAGAGAGAGAGAGAGAGAGAGAGAGAGAGAGAGAGCGAGAGAGAGCTAGATCACAACGAACACTTCAGATCAAACAGAGAGCGACGCGGGAGTTCGTTTCTCCTGTATATCCCACACGCGCGACTGTATAGTGAGAGATAGCGTGAGCGCGAGAGAGCGAGACATCGAGACAGAGGTAGCGAGAGCGTTGCAGCGACTCATGACGCATGGAAGTCACCGATCGCGCTGCAGAGAGAGAGAGAAAGAGACAGCGCGGGTGGGGTGAAGCTCTAGCAGAGAGAGAGAGAGAGAGATGTCACGACATTCAGACGCAGAGAGAGCAGTCGCACACAAAAGCCATCACCAACAGCAAGGAATTACAAGCACTATTTGTTCTAGCAGGGAGAAAGCGAGCCTGTTTGCTGCCTGCCCCCGACACTA